AGGATAATCATTAAGTTCTAACAGAATACTTAATTATTATCTTTATAAAATGTTATATTATTAAACCAAAAATAAATTATTTCATTATTAAACTTAAATTAAATTATAATAAATTTTTTTTAAAGAAATTACATAAAAATGAGAACTTTTAAATAGTATTATAACATCGACGGAGACAAATAATAAAATAGAACATTAAAATCGAGGTGTGTCTCGTTGCATTGCGCGAGTACCCTTCTAGTTTTTCTTGACATATATATAGATGTATCTTATTTTGTTGCGACGATAATCAAATGAGAACCATAAAAATGTTATAAATCCAAGAAAATTGATATAAAAATACTTTCTTATCAGATCTTTTTTCATCAAAAACTATTATTTTAGCTATTGTTTCACATATTTGTGTTCATATAGTGAAAAAAAAATCTATGTAAAACTTTTTTTTTTTATTCACTTAGTGAAACGAAAAATATACGAACAAAAGTTTCACAATATGAAACAAATGTGTGCAAAAATATCACATTAGGAAACAAATAATGCATGTGAGATTATATCTTAAATTCTAACATTTGATTAAAAACCATATAAAAAAGTAATTGTTAACCGATTCTCACAAGTTTATAGCTTTTTTGTGGTTCTCATTTGATTTAACTTCGAGTTTGTTAATCGTATAATTAGTATAAATTTTGTTAATCAAGGTGTTTTCATCTTTTTCATATATTGAAATCATATTCATTAATTATCTTATTTACTTAATTATCATATTTTTAATTATCTCATTTACTTTGTTTAATTTTGTGAAGGTTTAGTGTAATTTATTTACCTTCACAAGGTTTTATTGTGAAGTTTTAGTGTAATTTTGTGATATCACAAGTCTCACGAAAATAGATTGGTCTTACGTGAACCAAACTCTCTCTCTCTCTCTCTCTCTCTCTCTATATATATATATATATATATATATATGCGAAAGGTTATTTTGAGAAATAAAGAATTTATCCTAGCCCTTGATACGGTCAAGATCGGACTTGACTGGTCAATAATTGTGGCTTTGATTGGTCAAAAATTTCGGCTGTACAAAAAACGGTGGGGGGAGTTTTGTAAATTTTATAAATATGTGGCAAACGAGTTCGTATGTGAACTTCTATGATTCACATATAAATTATATGTTCATATGTGAACCAATGTAATTTATAAATGAACTATTTTAATCGATTCACATATAAACTAATTAGTTAATTCACATATGAACTTGTTGGTTCATATATGAATCAATTAAATAGTTTACATGTGAACTAGTTAACGGGTTCACATATAAACATATAATTTATATGTGAATCACATGGGTTTTACATATGAACCCATTCACCATCTATTTGTAAAAGTTACGAAACTACATTTACATCTTCCACATACCCATGAGAGATCATCCAATGTTTTACTGTCAAAACCGTAAATATTAACCAGATAAAATAATATAATCATTTATTTACTTTTCAAATATTTATCAGTTCTAAATAAACATTTTTCTAATATAATATAATATTATATATATATATATACAAAGTTTGGTTTCAAATGAGAAATGTCCAATTATAAAGAAAACAATAATCAATCTCCACATTTCATTTAACCTTATCAAGATGATGTCACCTTAATCCACTTTTTTTAAAGCAAAAGACTATTAAAGTAATTTGAGAGTGTATAGAGAGTGGAAAGAAAAAAGTGAGGTTTACATGATAATATAATTAAATAAGGAAATACAAAAGATATCAAATCATATGTAATTATTTATACTATATTATAAACATTTGATAAAAAAATTTAAAAACCATTTTGCTATGTATGAAGTACTGTTTATTTATGTATATTACTTAAAATTTAAGATTACAAGTAAATTTTGTGTAAATACAACTTATTAAAGTTTTACGTTTGAATCCGTATAACTAACTTAAGATAAACATAATCAAATTGAGGGTAAAGATTTTATTATAAATATAAAAAAAAACTAAAATATAATTAGGATAATCATTAAGTTGTAATAAAATACTTAATTATTATTTTTATAAAAAATTATATTATTAAACCAAAAATAAAAAAATGAATTAAGGAAATATACAAAAAAAAAAAAATAGTTAGTCTGTACTAATATCAAGATTTTTTTTATGATTTCTTCATATTTATATTTTATTCAAAAATAAAAACATTATTGTTTTCTCAAAACCACATAAAATCGTATTATAATATCGACTAAGACAAATAAAACGAAACACTAAAATTGAGATGTATCTCGCTACATTGTGCGAGTACCCTTCTAGTACACTTAAAATACATATGATTTGGCTGTTTTTGTATACATTTGTTTAGTTTATGTTCTCGTTTGACCCCCGCTCCCCCCCACTCTCTCTCTCTCTCTCTATATATATATATATAGAGAGAGAGAGAGAGAGAGAGAAAACCTGGTCAATCTTCATATTTAAATTTCGAAATTATCTCAATTGTGTCTTCGTTTTCCATGAACTCTCATCGTCCATTTTTGTTGTTATGATTTGATGGTAATGAAGGTTTTGAGCACGAAACCGTGGGCCCAATTCCCAGTTCATCATTGATGAACATTAATTGTTCGTCAATAGTACACGTTAAATTATGTGGTTGCATGTAATATATGCAACTGTATACGTGAATCTCGTTTCATTAGCATGTGATTCATATGTGAATACATGAATATACTTAAATGCATACACGCTTGCATCTTCATGTATTCATATGTGAATAATGAACATATGTTAACATTCTTATATTTACAAGTGAATGCATAAACATAAACTAATTTAAACTCGAAAAGCATGAGATTATAATATTTTATGGCACAATTATGAACATAAACTGACACAATCAATTTTTTTGGTTTTGGTGATAAAATCTGATTTGGTGATAATTATGTTTCCTGATTTTAAGATAATAAATGCTCATTTTTTATATTAGTATATTCGGCTTCAAATTTAGTCATATTTCACATATTTCGACTAAATAACAGTGTGTGTGCCAGATATGATAGTTCTCATTTATAAATCACTTACATTTTTAATTGCATCATTTGGATCAAATCATCTTAAAGTTAACATATATTCCTACAATCTCAATTTCGTTGTCATTTTCATTAAACCGTAAAAATATTAAAAACCGTGAAATCAAATTTACATATATTATTTCACATGTAAAACGTACAGTGTTTATGAAAGTATGAAACATAAATGTTTGTTTCACATTTATAAAAAACATAAAATACGTTTCATATATTAAACACATACAAAATAAAACATATAAAACACATTGTTTAAAAGACCAACAAATGTATAGAGAAGATAAACTCTGTATACCAGTAAGACATTAATCATATATGAATAAAGAAAAATACATAGAGATAATGATAAGTATGAAAAAAAAAGATTTACTTCATAAAAAAATATTTTATATCTTTCTTTTCCTCGCCAGATCAAAAGTTGTCTATACTATATTATAAAACATATGATAAAAACTCTTAAAAATTATTTTTTATGCATAAAGTATTATTTATTAATTCATATTACTTGAAATTCAATATTACACTTAAATCATGCGTAAAATACAACTTATTAAAACTTCATGTTCGAATATATGTAACTAACAACAGATAAACATAATTAAATAAGGATAAAGATCTCATTTTAGATATAAAAAAACTAAAATATAATTAGGATAACCATTGAATCATAACAAAATACTTAATTATACTAATATGATACTAATATGTATATATTTTTTTCAAAATTTTAAGATATCTTCAAGTTTATTTTTATTTAAAAATAAAAATGTTATCGTTTTCCCAAAACCACGTAAAACTATTTTATAACATCGACAGAAACACGGAGTAAGACAAAACATTAAAATTAAGATGTATTTCGCTGTATTGTACAAGTACTTATAATCTATACTATATTATAAAGCATTTGACAAAAACTCTTAAAAACCATTTTTTATGCATGAAGTATTGTATATTGATGCATATTACTTAAAATATTATAAGTAAATTATGCATAAGTACAACTTATTAAAGCTTCATGTTTGAATTCGTGTAACTAACTACGGATAAACATAATCAAATAGAGGATAAACATCTCATTTTAAAATATAAAAAATCTAAAATATAATTAAGATAATTATCGAGTTCTAACAAAATAATTAATTATTATTTTTATAAAAAAATTATATCATTAAATATAAATTAATTCGTTATTGAACCTAAATTAAATTATTAAAAAAATAAATTAAAAAATTACACAAAAAATAGGAATTTTAAATAGTTAATTTTATACTAATATCGTTATATTCTTATCAAATTTTTATGATATCTTCAAATTTATATTTTATTCAAAAATAAAAACATAATCGTTTTTTTTAATTATATAAGACGATAATATAACATCAACTGAGATAAAAAATAAAATAAAATATTAAAATCAAGATATATTTTGCTGTATTGTATAAGTTTCCTTCTAATATTATATAACTAAAATTAATTTTCATAAGTTTTTAACATTTAATTGGTTTTAATTTGATTTACGAGCGTGTATAAGTATGATTTATTTTCTTTATAATTGATATGCATAAAAAATATCGAAGGACCAAAATGGTAAAAAATATCAAAGGACCAAAATGGTAAATCAACCAAACTTGCGGGTTGCTTAATTACGAAGTTCTGCAGTTGATTGCTCTTTAAAAGGCAGGTGGTGGTGCTTTTCTCCTTCCGTTCGTCACACATTGCTCTCTCCCTACGCCTCCTTCATTGCTTCCATCAAATCACAGGTGAGTTTAACCTTTTCCTCAATTCGACGTCCTCCGATCATTATCTTTTCCGATCAGTTGAGTTTAACTGTTATTGTATGTGGTTTATAACTGTAAGTCGTTTATGTGTTTTGTTTGATCTATGTGTACTGATTCATATGGATTGTTTTGATCGCTGATCAAAATGTAGGGCGATTATTTTGTTCTTTAGTTGTGTATAGTTCTCTGGATTCGATTCAGGATTTTTTTTATGTACGTTACTGTGTAGTATAACTAAAGCTCAGTAATTGACGAATAACGAAGGATGTTGTTGTAATCGGTAAAATTAGAGGACTTCCGGTCACTTTACGGTAAATAGGATTCTTGTATGGAGTTTGAATGGAATCATGTGAAGGACGGAAACATGTTACTAGGTTTTGTTTCGTTGTATTTATGATCGGTCATAATCACTGGTAATAATACTGTTTGAATTGATATCTCACACATGATTGGGATCTTATGGTTGATAATATTGACAATTTTGGTGAAGGTGTCTTAATCTTGATGACTATATAATATATTTTACCAATTCCCTTTTAGGAAAAAGAGTCCACATGTTCATTTTTTAATTCCAATCTTATTATTTTTGTAGCGCGGTATTTGGTTTTGGTTGTGTTTTTCTGATAGTGAAAAATATTTATATCAACTTTCAGCGAGTTCTATTGACTCGTTTTCTTTTGGGGACATAGAAAGTAGCAATTCGGAATTTTATGCTTCATTTGGGGATTCGTGTGATTTGGGCTTTATTTTATTTGGGAACATGGGTAGTAACAAGTTTCAGGAGAAACTACTTTCAAACTTAAAGTTGACTGTCAAAGACTAATTTGAGGAAGTAAAATCCTGAAGCTTTATGGATGTTTCTTTATACTTGATTTATTGTAAGCTATTAACATGAGATGCTATCAATGTTCTGTTATTTGACTCTTCGGGTTGTAGTTCTTGATGTTGACTAGTATAGCATAGCCAATATCTAAGAAGAAACTTTTGTCATGGTTGCAGTGAAACATGGGTACCGCAATCAAAGCAAGCGTGCTTGCCTTGTTTTTGTTTTTTCTTCTATCACCTACTGCATTTTCGGTCTCCAATGGTGGATTATTAAGAGTTGGACTTAAAAAGAGGAAGGTGGACCAAATTAACCAACTTAGTGGACATGGTGTGTCTATGGAAGCAAAGGCTAGAAAAGATTTTGGCTTCGATGGTGCTCTGAGGGACTCGGGCAGTGACATTATTGCACTAAAGAATTACATGGATGCTCAGTATTATGGTGAGATTGGTATTGGATCTCCACCTCAAAAGTTCACCGTGATTTTTGACACTGGAAGTTCTAATCTATGGGTGCCTTCTGCAAAGTGCTACTTTTCAGTAAGTTTCTCGTTACTGGGTGTTTGGCCTTCCTAATTCAGGATCTCTCTCAGTCTGTTGATTTATAGTTTCAATCATGTGCTCATGGTTGTTTATATGGACACAGGTAGCTTGCCTTTTTCACTCAAAGTATAAGTCGAGCCATTCAAGTACCTACAAGAAAAATGGTATGGTCTCTGTAATTATTTTCACTGTGATATACAGATGCTGTTCCTCGTATCCGTACCTTACTTCCTGTTTGATGGTAAACATAGATAATACTGAAACCTAGAGGATTGCTTATGAGTAACCTTGAGTAAGATTAGTGTTGCAAGGATCTGGAAATATGATATCGTGAAAGGACCACAAAGAAGATGCGTAAAAAGTAATTGGCACAAAAATAAGCACCAAAACAGAAAAAAGAACAAGACAGTGGCTTTAAAGGATGCTAGATTTGATGCACCATGAGAGGAGAGGGGAGGCCCTCAAATTTTTTTATTATTGAGGGAAAAGGGAATCTTCATTGATGGCCATGTGTAACAAGGGGGAAAGGGTAGCATTTGAGGTGGAAGAGGATGCACACAAGAATTTGGTAGGCCCTTTCCAATAACTAAGGAAAATACGCAATATATAAAAAATATAGAAACATGCATGCACAAAATGAGCATGCAACCATATATAGAACTCATACATTGAGCTTCGACTAATGTGAGCTTGAAGATTGACCTTCTGTTATTTAAAAGGTTCTTAATTGGTAACTTTTGTCATATGTCATTTAGGGACATCTGCTGCTATTCGATATGGAACTGGATCAATCTCTGGTTTTGTTAGCCAAGATTCTGTCAAACTCGGCGATCTTGTTGTTAAAGAGCAGGTAAAGATTAAGGAATTGGGGTTTTGGATGTACTGGATTCAATGTTCTCATTGAGTTTCTCCTTGTGATGTTCCACTTTCTTCAGGATTTTATAGAGGCAACCAAAGAGCCTGGCATCACTTTCTTGGCAGCCAAGTTTGATGGTATACTTGGCCTTGGATTTCAGGAGATCTCTGTTGGGAAATCTGTTCCTGTCTGGTAGTTTACTCATCTCTAGCAACTGAAGTTGGAGTCTTGTTTGTGTTTCATACTTTGTTGGTGGCATAGGGTGCTTGTTTGTTGTATACATCTTTCTTTGTCTCAAGTGTGATTGGTGAGAGAGTATTCATATGCCTTCTAAATTGAGATATCTGCATACCCTGTTAGGTACAACATGGTTAATCAAGGTCTTGTTCAAGAACCTGTGTTTTCCTTTTGGTTTAATCGCAATGCTGATGAGGAAGAAGGGGGCGAACTCGTGTTTGGTGGTGTTGACCCTAATCATTTTAAGGGTAAGCACACATATGTTCCGGTGACTGAAAAAGGCTATTGGCAGGTGGGTTGCGATAATTCCCCTGTATATGTAGTTGTGTATCTATGTTTTAGTCCATCATTGGTTGCTGAATTTTATTTGTTTCTCTTGTCCTTAGTTTGATATGGGTGACGTTCTTATTGAAGATAAAACTACCGGTACTTTTACGGTGTTCCTGTTTCGCCTTTTTAGCTCGGATACAGTGTGGATTTATCATCTGAAAAATTGTTAAGATTTATGAACTTTGCAGGATTTCTGATATCAGGGTTTCCATTTCAGGATTTTGCTCTGATGGTTGTGCAGCAATTGCCGACTCTGGAACCTCTTTGTTGGCAGGTCCAACGGTATGTTTAAAAAGCTATGTGCTTCTATATTATTTTGGAGGGATCATTACATGTTTATAGGCATCATGCTCATGTTACACAATCCTGCCTGTATGCATATCTTTTATGTATGGTGTGCTACATAGCTTATGCAGTACTAGAAGCAAGTATCCACAACTCCAAACAATGACCAAAATGTCTGTGGTTAGTTGTTTGTTTAAAATGCGCATTACAGATGCTATTTTGACCTCTCATTGTAAATAAGAAATATAAGGTACAATTTTTGAATTAAGGGTGCTAAGAAGGCTACAACCCTTAGAGATTGAGACAGTGCCATACCAACAGTAAAGACATACAACCCTTTTATGCATGTTAGTTAATTGACCAGGGTCATTGTTATGGTCTGCTTTAAGAACAAGGACTGCATAGAAGATGATGCTAGGTTTGTCGTAGTCTGGGAACTGCGCAAGTTTTGGTGCTTGTGAAACCATATAGTTAATTGTTTGTGTAATATGGTTGTGTGTTATATGCTCGTCACCAATTGAAGTAATGATAAGTTCAAGAAAAGATGACCCCCATAGCTACGATAATTTCACCATAAGTACACCATTGAAGTAACTGCCACACATCCATTACCATCACTTTTTTCTAAATGTGCAATGAGATTATTGCACTCTCATGTAGATGGAGTGATGGAGAGGGGAGGGGTTGATTGTCATCGAGACCTATTTGATCAGGAATCAGAGAACAAGCTTCAAATCTTCATCTGTCTTCTATTTAGAAGTAGGCATGTAACAATATAGATACCTTTTTTTTCTTTATTATTATTATTACTTTTTATTATAAATATAGGGTAGTACCTCTTTTTCGTCTCCTTCCTAAAAAAGTAGACTGCTTCTAGATTATCTCTTTCTGGAGCCCACTACACCCTGGGGATTGCTGATCAAGGTTATACCATAGAATTCGGTCTTCAGAGTCAACCAGGTGGTTTCTATTAGGAAGGCGGTGCAGGTCTAACTCCGCGATAAAAGAGCTCTGTTTCCGAACAGATGTGGTTCGTGATTCGCTGGGCACTAGATATAGGGATCCCACCATATTCTCAAACCTGGTAGTTCGGTTGATTGGCATAACCAGATAATTATCCCCAATGACAAATGATGTAGAAAAGCAGTCATTTTTACTTAGGTCATTCCCAACATTATGTTGGTTAAGAGAAATTCTCTCTAGTAGAATCTTTGTACCATAGGCCTTATTTCATGAAAGGGACAGGCCTTATTATTCAGTTAAGGCCGCCATTTATTGATTGCATTCCAAAGTCCACAAATACAATTTTAGGTCAAGTGCCTTTGTAACTGCATCTTATTCTTCAATTCTGCTACCTCTGTCCCAGGGCGTGTGAGTGGGTGTTTCAATCTAAGACATGGAACAGGGCCCCCAGATATTTTGGGGCCCAATTATACATGTTTGAACTTTTACCTAATTATATATGCTCAAACTTTTAACCAAATTATAATGTTGTAAGCTTTACTCCTTTTGGCCGATTTAGCGATTCCTGATTCCTGCTGTCGAAGAATGTTAAAAGAATCATCCTATTTCAGGGAATTTCATGTTACGTTATCCTTTTAAGACATTTTGTTGTTTTAGTTTATAGTACTTAGTATAAACTTTTTATATTTTGTTTTATTTATTACTTGTCTAGTCGACCTATAGTGGGTGAGCCTACTACTAGAGTCCGGAGACTAACATCCCCTGAAAATTTACTTTTCAGGCTATTATTACTGAAATCAATCATGCAATTGGTGCGAAGGGGGTCATGAGCCAGCAATGCAAAACATTGGTTAGTCAGTATGGAAAGACTATGATTGAGATGCTCCTATCTGAGGTACCCGCTTTCCTTCCCTCCCTTTCTCTCTGCAAGTTGTTTCTTATGATAATATGATAAGCATAGGAAATTAGGATATATTGTTTATCTCTAGAAACTTCCAACAGTTTGACTCATTTTTTCTTGTTATGATGTATAGGCGCAACCTGATAAAATCTGTTCTCAAATGAAGTTATGCACTTTTGATGGTGCTCGCGATGCTAGGTCAGTTTCATTTGTATGTTATCCTCACTAGAGCATCCACAACTTCATCACCATCAGTTTTCAATTTACTACACATTTCATAAACCTATGAACCAAATTATTTCTCAGTCCAGGATTTATAAATGGTCAGTTAATTTATGATAAAAATAATATTGAAAATAAAGTATATTATTTTTATTTACTGATTTTTGAGAGAATTATTAAAATTACCGTGTATAAAATATATAATATAACGATAATCAAAATACAATGTAATGAGGATTATCTGTTAAAAGACTATAAATTTATCAATTTTGTTTCTTAAGGTTATTATAAATAAATTTTATTTTTTAACAATTTTAAAATTATAATTATTTAATACGTAATTTTTTTATTTTTAAAATTTGGTGGACCGGTGCTTGGTCCTAAGCAAACCACCCTCTGCGGATGCTCTTAGTCCCATAACCATGAGTATGATCATATCACCTTCAGATTCATAAAAAACTGATCATCACTTTCACNACCCCCCCCCCCCCCCCCCCCCCACCCCCTCCCCCCACCCCCCCCCCCCCCCCCCCCCCCCCCCCCCCCCCCCCCCCCCCCCCCCCCCCCCCCCTCGATATATTTAAGTGAATAACCTTGAATGATATTTTAGTTAAACCCATTAACTTTTGATGAGTATGAAGCCATTTTTCTTCCAATAAGTTAGAAGGTCATGAATTTAATTAAAATCTCATTTAAGGTTATATACCTAAATGCCTCATTCACCGTCGTAGTCTCAATGATATAAACAGCCAAGAAGAAACACAGGAAGCAATTGCTTGCAGATCCCAATAAGTTATGCTTGTACAACTTATAATTTGTAAAACTGGTTTTAAGTTATTTGTTTGTTGATGTGAGATAAATTAGCTATACCTAACGATCATGTTTTGACAGCTCAATAATTGAGAGCGTTGTTGACGAGAATAACGGAAAATCTTCTAGTGGCGTACACGATGAGATGTGTACCTTTTGTGAGATGGCAGTCGTTTGGATGCAAAACCAAATCAAACGAAACGAGACTGAAGATAACATAATCAACTATGTCAATGAGGTGAAGTAACCTCTGCCATAAACATAGATAAGAGCATCGCCAACATCAGTTATATTATTAAAATAGTGGGAAGTTCAAATAGGAAGGCTAAATATCGTGAGAAGGTTAAGGGAAGGTTCATATGTGCATCATTGAGAAACCCATTTCAAGATGCACATGTGAATACATGTTGAAATTTTCCCTCTCGCTTGTTCTTTCTTTATTTTGGAGTAAAGCTGTTGGAGAAAGAAAAAGCCTAAAAACATCAAATCACATTTTTATTCATGTTGGAGGTGTAGGAGATGCTATAATAAAAGACTAGTTTGTAATTTGTAAAGTTAGGGGGATGTTTGGCAGTGATTTGGTGCAGAATGATTAAGTGATCAGAATGATTAAGAAACTCTTCTGATATAGTGCAAAATGAAATATGATTGTTTGGTAATTGTTTACAATGAAATTAGCGCTGAATGGTTAAGGGAGGCTTAGAATACAAAACCATTCAAAGGGTTTTAAAACCATTAAGAGGCAGACTTTTTTTATTGCCAAACAAGATTTACCTCTTAATGATTCAGAGTTTGCCTTTTAATGGAACTATAAAGAGGTAAACAAACGACCCCTTACCCTAGTTTGATGTTTTTTCTAAGCATTTATTATTTATCTACATGCAGCTGTGTGATCGCTTACCCAGTCCAATGGGAGAATCAGCAGTAGACTGCAACAGTCTTTCCTCCATGCCCAATATTGCCTTCACAATTGGTGGCAAAGTTTTCGAGCTCTGCCCAGAACAGGTGATAATTAATCCAAATATTTGTTTTAGGCCTGTTTACTACCTGCTTACCATCTCTTACCGGGTAAGAGGTGCTGACCCGGTAGATGCTTCTGTTTACCAAGGCTCTCTTACTGGTCCATGATGCTTATCTGGTAAACTGAGAAAGGGGCCTTTACGGGCCATTTACCAAACGACGTTAGCTCTTACCTGCCAAAGACATCACTCTTACTTGCCTTATCGTGTAACATTATTAGCCATCAAAATTGATTGTTGATAAACGTCTTAAACACGATAAGCGTTTACCTGGTAAGACTCTCATCCTTGTCATGCCTCTTATCGAATAAGATTCTTGGTCCTTGTCATGCTCAATCTGTAAGGTAAGGGATACCGTTAAGCGCTTACCTCATAAGCATTTAGTAAACGCCCCCTTACTTGGTTAACAGCCCCAATGGAATTTAAGGGTTGGGTTCCGGTGAGGATGGAAGTTATGGTGAGAAGGTAAGAAGAGATCTCCACCCTCGGATCAATCCTAATTGAAGATTCACCGGATCAATTCCCGTGAGAAGCGGAATTCATAGGGTGAGGGTGAGATTGAAAATGATCAAGGGTCCAGATACTTTCTTACACTTCTCATCTTAACTCTTATTCTCACACGATACTTCATCTGAAATTTAAATGTATAAAGAATTAATATTTCTCTTGGAAACCAACTATGATCGATCAGTACATCCTCAAAATCGGTGAGGGAGAAGCAGCACAATGCATCAGTGGATTCACTGCTATGGATGTGGCCCCTCCTCGTGGACCTCTATGGTAATTATCTTTTTTTACCGGTGGTTAAAACATTTTATTACTACATGTTCCATTAGTAGCATTCCTTTGTGGTGTCGTCGTGCAAATTACTCGTGGTTCAGATTTGGAATCATATAGTAATTCTTTTTACGATTTTTGAACCGTTAATATCGTGGATCTTTTGATGCAGGATCTTGGGAGATGTTTTTATGGGCCGATACCACACGGTGTTCGATTATGGCAAGTTACGAGTTGGATTTGCAGAAGCAGCTTGAGAGAGAGATGTTAAATCGGTTTTTCTGTGAATATCCCTCCTACCTGAACAAAATTGTCCAATAAATTTACGACGTTTTATTACCCTAAATTTGTTGGTACATGATAGAAACGTATGTCGGTTTGGTATTTACTTTATGCGTGATGCAACTTTCGTCTCAATGTTATTCGACCCGTCTTCAAAATTCAGTAAATCCCCGGTCAAAGGTCGGAATTGAGAAATCATATTGTGACGAGTGCATTGGTTTGGGTAAAGTTTGTACGGTTGTTTAACGACTTGTCCTACATGGATAGAAAACGAGATATGTGAGCTGTTTTTTTTTTTATTAACTTGGATATCCAACCTGTTATACGACCCGACTAATTCCAGGGCGACTACTTGCTTTGCAGATGGGCTGGAGTCATCGCATTTGAACCTTCGTGGCCACAAGGGGATTTTTATTTCTTCTTGGATTTGAACTTGGGACCTCCTGGTACTTTTGACCTTTAAAGCCAAGCTCAAATCAATCAGACACCGCCCTTGTGGTTGATATGTGAGCTGTTTATTTTGATAACCTACTCCATTGGTGTTTACTCGTTTCATCACTGAAATCGATTAATTCCCAACTACGCAGACCTTCATTAACACGGGGAACCCATATAACAAAAGAGTGTAACTTTAAATATATGATCATGCTTCGTTTCATCAATGGAACAACATTTTATGGTTCCTACCTACTTACATTAACATCTGTATGTGAACTTGGAGCCCTATCAGTATTCATATGTTAGCAACAACACTAAAAGAAATACAATCGACCACAAAATCTATAGAAATAAACATCCATCGCCTGTGAAATCTCTAAAAACGTTAAACCCATTGAAACTGCTTTCAATTATTGTTTGGTTAACTCAAGTCTGCTATTTCTTCAAAAACTTGCTTTAATCTATTATCTTCAACATCATTGAAATCAGACAAGTTGAAAAGAATATATTTTATTCTTAAACCGTTCAACAACACACTCTGCTCGGGTGGAATGAAACGATACTCATTTTTTTACATGATAATTAAATAAAAAATTGATTATTTGTTCGTTATCAATCTTTAATTTTGTTTGATGGATTAATTTCTTCATCGTCCCATATTATCACATAATCATATAGCTCGTAAGTTTGATTATGTATGTAAAACTAGAGATGCACAAGATCCGGACTTTTATAAACCTAGGTCGGATGGAACCGGGCTCTAGGGTTGAAAAGGCCCGATCGGGCTTTTTCAGGCTAACCTTTTTTAGACTTGACAAGACTTTTCTTGGTCGGGTATGTCCCCAAAGTTTTGGTCTGATCAGGCTTTGAGGCCTGATCCTTAACGGGCTTCAAACTCACTAGACCCAGGCTTCGAACTTGAGGTTTTCTTTGAGCATCTCTAATTTAAAGCTCGTTATAACTATTTTAATTTAGTTGCGATGATGGGCTTTAATCAACCCATATAAAGTTTAATCCAATTGTTATTGGGCTCGTACTATATGGATCTTGGTCCCTATCTAAATTGTTTAGTTTTAAAAATTATGTTTTTTTTTTATATTATTATTATTAGAAAATAAGTAATATATATTTAAAAGTATAAAGGACCGTTTACTTAAATGTTTATCCAGTAAGTGCTTAACGTTAGAAGTCAACACTATAATTTATTTTATTGGATAAGATCGTAGTACATCAAAACGTATCATATGCAACAATTTATCTGGTAAGCACTTACCCATGTAAGAGTCGTCACCCTCACTTACAGGGTAAGACTCTCCAACCTTATCATCGTTTTTACCGGGTAAGATTCTTGACCCTTGTCATGTTAAAATATGAATTTAGAAACCTTGTTTTTGGCATGTAGTCCATTGTTGGTCATGTGATTCATGGCCTTGTCCTCAACATAAAAAATGCAAGACACGTTTAGAATACACCACCATTTACATGTATATGGGTATACATGTACATGTTTTGAATTTTCATGTAAAAAAGTTTGTTTCAAATAGTCTTTGTCTTAGCAGTATTTGATCTTAGAACTGTCCTTGAAAGAGGGCAGGTCGAATGCACGCTCAGAGCCCATAAGAATGAGGGTCCCAATTTTTTAGTATATAATACGCTACTACACGCAACACTTTTACCTACCGTTATTTTCCTGTAAATATCATTGCTAAAAGGGTGATCCGTCACATAACCATCACAAAAGTTGGGTAAATTGTTGATGGGAAACTCAAGTCTGTAACAAATTACCCAGGGATTTCCTGGGTGTGAATCCGTCAGTATTTTCTTGAAAAATATCGGATTCTACCAAATCATTGATATAAGTTAACTTTCCACATATACATACATACATACACACATACATGCATGCATACATACATGCATACATACATGCATGCATGCATGCATGCATACATACATACAAAACAAACTCTTGAAGCTTGTACCGCCTTTACTCAAATACAAAACAAATTCAAGTTTTAATCCTATCATGGAGGTAGAGATGGGCTTGAACCCCCTCCATTAACCTTAGCAATTGAGTCAGCTTTAAAATGTCTCCTTACATGTGGTTCTTAGAGAGCAAGACAATGTTAGTATTTTATCTGTAATCAACCTTTTGCTCAAATACATGTGTATAGACATTATGCTCATGTTACACCCGATCATGCATGTATTTTTTATATGTATGGTGCGCTACTGTTTAAGATGCTATTTTGACCTCTTTTTATAAATAAGAAATATAAGGTACAACTTTTGAATTAAGGGTGTCTTGTGCGAAAATAATAAAAAAAATGTCCCTAAGCCTATTTTTTTAAGCCAATAAAACAACAAAACATGCGATTTTTTTAAAGAGTTTAGAACCTATTCAAGCTAAGTATCTCATCCCCATATTGATTTTTATTAATTATAATAAAAAAAATACAATGGGGGGACATAAAAATCAAAACCCCGAATACAAAATATGAAATGATAAAAGGATAAATCCTGAATTAAAATCTTGTTTCCTTCTTTTCCAATTTTCTCTTTTTAGAATTGAAATTAGCAAAATAGAAGCATTATTTCAATATATGGGACTTAAAAGATAAGGAAAACTATAATTAGTTTTTAACTAAAATAGTAAATTACATTCAAATTACTGTCATAGTATGCAAAGAATATAACTTAAAAATTACAGGTCCAACGACTAATGGCTAAGGGCCTTAGCAGCTTAATAAGTTTAATGGAACTAACAGCTTATTCGCCCAAGTGTACATGTCTGTTTCGTAGTGGCTTAATGATATAGAAAATGAATTATCTAGTAAGCTTCTAAAGGAGCTTTATATATAAAGCAAAGTTTTTTTTTCCAAACATGTCTTTTCCATCTAAAAAATGCTCTTTACATATACGAAAAAAAATTTCCAACTTATACAAACAGATTAATTCATACAGACAACTTTATACAAACAAAAACTTTTCCAACTTTCCAACTTATTAAACCCAAAACTAGTAATAAATGACAACTTGATGCCCTTTAAGCTTTGATGTCTTGTGCGATCGCACGGGCTGCAAGTGGCCAGGGCCGACTTTAAGGGTGCCTTGAAAAGGTGTATATGTATGTTGAATGTATACTATATTATAAAGCATTTAATAAAAACTTTTAAAAACCATTATATATGTATATATAAAGTACTGTTTATTGATACATATTATTTATAATTCAAAATTACAAGTAAATAATGCATAAGTACAACTTATTAAAGCTTTATGTTTGAATTCGTGTAACTAATTGCAGATAAACATAATCAAATACTGGATAAACATTTCATTTTAAATATAAAAAGTCTAAAATATAATTAGGATAATCACTGTATTATAACAAAATACTTAATTATTATCTTTATAAAAAATTACTTCGTTATTAAACCTAAATTAATTATAATAGAAAAAAATTGAATTAAAGAAATTACACAACAAAACAAAAACTTTTAAATAGTTAATTTGATGCTAATATCGATGCTTTTTTTTAAAAAAAAAAGTTTAAAATATCTTCAAATTTATATTTTATTTAAAAATAAAAACATTATCGTTTTTCTCAAAACACATAAAATAGTATTATAACATCGACAAGAGACAGAATAAAATGAAACAAGAAAATCGAGATATATTTCGCTGCATTGCGCGAGTACCTTTCTAGTATGTGTGTGTGTATAGTGGAGGTTCGAATAAAAAGACTAAATATCGTGAGAATATAAGGAGAAAGTAAAAAATTCATATATATTTGAATCATTGAAAAAAAATGCATTGAAGATGCATAGAACCCACATGAATAATCTGTAACATTGGGTCACATATACATTTTCAAATAGATTTTTTATGGAATTTTGAGTTGTTACAAACTCTCCAACTTAAAATCCTGACATCCTCATCAGGCCTACCCAGAATCTTCCTCATTATCATCGGCAATGTGGTATTCGCCTAAGATGTTACAAACACCCCCTCTCGAGGATTCATCATACCTGATGAGGTTTGTCCCGCCATCTCGATGGTACAAGAATCGGCTCTGATACTGTTTGTAACACCCCCAAAACCCAAACAATGGACTGACCCAATATCTTCGAATCTAACTTAAAACCATGGTGAAAGTTGTTGGTAGCCCACTACTTAAAACTTGTATCAAATTGTGTCCACCTTATGAATCTGTACATCTCCTTTCTTCTAATTCAAAATTCTTGTTTCCGTCATATAGGTCAATTAATTCTCTTCTCTTCCAATTCGTCAGCAAAACATTTTTTATCGATTCTCGAACCTGTTCATCGATCCCGGTTGATCATTTATTCTTAATCCTCTCATCTTTCCAACATCAATTTAACATATACACACCTTATGAGCATGCGGAGTCAAAGAAAGAGTTGGTGGTTGGCGGGTTGTTTTGGATCTTAGATTTACTGAAATCGAGAGAGTAAATTCAGTCACTCCCTCCCTCCCTTTAACTGTTCATATTACTATTTTAGTTTGTCTTAAAATAAATGTCTACTTTTAAAAGTAGATTCCCAGTTTCTAATTGTATCATTAAATATGAGATATAGAAAATTTTTCTCTCTATTATTAAGGGTAAATGCGTATTTGATCATTTAAAAAAAGTAATAATTATATATTTCCAAAACATTTTTATTTTAAGATATAATTATTAATTTAATGAGTTTTGTCATCCAAATTAAAAAAATAATTAAAACAGCCTTTTATTTTTAATCAATTAATAAATTAATGTAATTGAAATATGTAGCCTACC